GGAGGAGGAGGAGGAGGAGGAGGAGGGGGGAGGAAGAATATGACAATGAGAAGGAGCAAAAAACATGGGAAAAGGCCTAATGCCGCCCCGAATCATAACGTTTGGGCGCCCCCACAGACTTTCGGTCGCCCGAACCTGTATCTGACGGATGTGGGTGTCCCGGCCGTTCTGGTGATTGGACAGCACCGCCAACTGGATAAAGTGCGTGCGGATTGCCGCATTGAGACAAGGGTTCCCCTACGGCCAGGGAATCCCATCCTTCTTCTTTCTCCATCTTCCATCTCCGCAACCTCCTCCTCCCTCCATCCCTCACCCGTCTCCTCCTCCTCCTCCTCCTCCTCCTCCTCCCCTTCCTCCCCGTCCTCCTCCTCCTCCTCCTCCTCCTCCTGCTCCTTATGAGCAACTCATCCCTGTCGCGCCCCGAGGCCAGTCGAAAGGGCGGACCAAGCGTTTCGCCTGAGCAGTTAGGATCCTGAAGATTAGACATTCGCAGCAGTTTCACAGATGGGGGGCGGGTGGTTTTCAAAATGTGGCTCTCGCCTTAGCGCCGCGCATATTCGTTTTCAACGTTCGCAGGAATTTTATGGAGTGAGGGCGGGTCCTCTTCAAACTGTGGCTCTCGGCTTAGCGCCGCGCACCTTCATTTCAACAATCTGCAAGTGCTTCGCGGATTGTGGGCGGGTCGTTTTCAAAATGTGGCTTTTGCTTTAGCGCAGCGCGCGCTCGTGTGAAACAGTTGCAACAGTTTCACTGGTTGAGGGAAGGTGGTTTTCAACATGTGGATCTCGCCTGAGCTCCGCGTACGTTTTAAAAGTAGCCTGGCGAAGGACCCAACCATACGCAGTTGTGAGCACCGTCGTTGTATGTAACGCATTCAGAGGAGCTCCCTATAGGGCCACGAAACTTCTGAGGGGTGTGCCAAACATTGTCCAGTGGGCGCATGTGGAAGCAACCACTTGGGCCGTCGGTGGAATTCCCAATGGGGCCACGAAACGTGTGAGGAGTGTGCCGACATGGGTGTGGGTGACGCATGCGGGCGGTGACACTGGCGCCTTCGGTGGAGCTCACCATGGGACCACAAAATGCGTGAAGGGTGTGTCGGAATGGGCGTGAGTGACGCGTGCGGGCGGTGGCACTGGGGCCTTCGGTGGAGCTCCCTATGGGGCCACGAAGCATGTGAGGGGTGTGACGACATGGGTGTGGGTGACGGATGCGGGCGGTGGCACTGGGGCCTTCGGTGGAGCTCCTTATGGGGCCACGAAGCGTGTGAGTGGTGTGCCGAAATGGGTGTGGGTGACGCATGCGGGCGGTGGCACTGTGGCCTTCGTGGAGCTCCCCATGGGGCCACGAAGCGTGTGAGGAGTGTGCCGAAAGGGGTGTGGGTGACGTCTGCGGGCGGTGGCACCCTGGCCTTCGGTGGAGCTCCCTACGGGGCCACCACGAAGCGTGTGATGGGGGTGACGGCATGGGTGTGGGTGACGCATGCGGGCGGTGGCACTGGCGCCTTCTATGGAGCTCCCTATGGGGCCACGACGCGTGAGGTATGTGTGTGTGTGTGCCGAAATGGGTGTGGGTGACGCATGCGGGCGGTGGTACTGGGGCCTTCGGTGGAGCTCCCATATGGGGCCACGGAACGTGCGAGAGGTGTGCCGAAATGGGTGTGGGTGACGCATGCGGGCTGTGGTACTGGGGCCTTCGGTGGAGCTCCCTATGGGGCCACGAAGCGTGTGAGTGGTGTGCCGACATGGGTGTGGGTGACGCATGCGGGCGGTGGCACTGGGGCCTTCCCCCTATGGGGCCACGAAACGTGTGAGGGGTGTGCCGACATGAATGTGGGTGACGCATGCGGGCGGTGGCACTGGGGCCTTCGGTGGAGCTCCCTATGGGGCCACGAAGCGTGTGAGGGGTGTGCCGAAATCGGTGTGGGTGACGTATGCGGGCGGTGGCACTGGGGCCTTCGGTGGAGCTCCTATATGGGGCCACGAAATGCTGTACTGGGTGGGTGAAACGCAGGGAGGAGGGAGGAGGGGGAGGAGGGAGGAGGAAGGAAGGAAGGAGGAGACGCGGGGCGCTGTCTCTTCGAAAGGAGGACCCACCACCACAGGATGGTTGGGAAATAGGTTTCGCGGATTGCAAGCGGTTGCTTTTCAAAATGTGGCACACTCGTCTTAAACCTTTGCGATCTTTTGCAAGAACTTCATGGACTCCCATGGTCAACGTGCCAGATCTGTGATGGAAAGACTCAGGAATGTGAGGGCTTAACAATGACGTTGATTCGCGGTGTTGAAGTCTCAAGAAAGGTGCTGTGGCACGATTCCGCATCGTCAAAACGCAACAGTCATGTTGGTTCGTTGCGTTGGAGTCCCCAGAATGGTGTTTTGGCACGCTTCAAGGTCTTCAAGCGGTTGTATCCCAACGATGCAGTTCCCTCAGTGGAAATGAACCCTTGCAGGGGCCTATGAAGAGAGAGCCTGGAGGGAGGGTTTACTCCAACATCGTTGATGAGTCTTGGCTTTGCACTGGTCCTCCTCCTCCTCCTCCTCCTCCTCCTCCTCCTCCTCCTCCTCCTCCTCCTCCTCCTCCTCCTCCTCTATGGTGCCTCCCCCTCCTGCTGCTGCTGCTCCTCTTTCGTGGCTGAGCGGGCCGGAAGGTAGTACCAAGGAGTCCGCTGGTCTTCCTCCCCGCCTTCGCCTGCTCCGCTGCGACCTCAAGACCCTCTGATCCCTCCCCATCCAGTGGGCCTTCCACCGCGTCCCCTCTGATCCCCGTCTTCGTCTGCCCCCGCCCCTGCACCCCGGGGGCCTTCGGGTGCCTCTTCGGGCCCTTTTGGGAAGCCTCCTGGAGGCTCTCTATGTGGAGGTTTTGGCACCTCTGGGTCTCTTCCCCTTCCGACGGCCCCCTGTTCCCCTTGCGAGCTGAAATCCGCTGCGCCACCCATGTCTGGGTCTCGCGGCACGCACCAAGGTGTTGCTTCCTCGGGCGCGGGCTCGTGCAAACTCCGCGCCAGCCGCACCGTGATCCAGCCGTCGGGCTCACGCAGGTCGATGACCTGGATCTCCTGCAGGTCGTGGTGGGCCGTGCCGATGCGGACCGAGATGCATGAGGGCGTGTAAGACTCGTCCACCTTTCAGCGGCGAGCAACAGCAGCAGCAGCAACATCGCATGGCCTTTCAACACGTATATCCCAAACCCTCGATACCCGCCCTCTTCCTCTTCGGTCGTACCCCCCTGGGGGTATATCTTCCATACTTGTCGCGTGTAATTGGTGCAGCCCCTGAAACAGGACAAGGAAGGACGGATGGAACGGGGAGGGAGAATAATGGAGCACGAGAGAAATTAGCAGGAGGGGGGCAAGAAACAGAAAACAAGTGGTATAACCAGACGGGCAGATCGGGTGGGCAGACCCATAGCGGGCAGGTCGGGAAGGCGGGCCCAGGCGACCAGGTCGAGCAGGCGGGTTGCTGAAGCGTGGGTCCTGCATGAATCGCGAGGAAGTCTCGAGCGATAGCGCGATACCCAAGTAAATCGTGGACAAAACCAAAGCGAGAGCGTGATTCCTGAGTGCCGAGGGCGCATCGTCTGAATAACTTGCGAGGAAGTCCCACGCGAGAGCACGCGATTTCTGTACACATTGTGAATACGTCCTGCGCGAGAACGCGATTTGGAAAAACATTGTGAACCAATATCAAGCGGGAGCCGTTGTTGTAAACAGGGGCCCGACAACCCAGATTGGTGCCCCCCGATTCCTCTTGTTAAAAAGCAGGGCGCGATCCCCGGCAGGATCATGTCAATAGAAAAAATACAGTGTGCCCAACAATAGTCATTCTTTGAGGCGGAGAAAGCAACAACAGCAGCAGCAGCAACAACAACAATCATTCTAAAACTGTTCGCTCCTATCTGCTCACATGTCAATCAATACGTATATCCCAAGCCCTGGGTACCCGCCCTCGTCGTCTTCGATCGTATCCTCTTGGGGGTATATCTTCCTTACCTGCCACGTGCATTCAGTGCAACCCCTAAAACAAGGGAGGAGAGGACGGGTGGAAGGGGAGGGATAATAATGGAGCGCGAAAAAAGTTAGCAGGAGGGGGGCAAGGGGCAGAAAACAAGTGGTATTACCAGACGGGCAGATCGGGTGGGCAGACCCATACCGGGCAGGTCGGGAAGGCGGGCCCAGGCGACCAGGTCGAGCAGGCGCGTTGCTGAAGCGTGGGTCCTGCATGAAGCGATTCCCAAGTAAATTGCGAAAAAACCAAAAAGAGAGCGTGATTCCTGAGCGCCGAGGGCGCATCGTCTGAATAACTTGCGAGGAAGTCCCACGCGAGAGCGCGATGCGTACATGAATTGTGAGGAAACCCCGCGCGAGAGCGCGATTTGGGAATACATTGTGAGGAAATATCAGGCGGGAGACGTTGTTGAACTCTCATTTCTGAAGAAAAAATATTGTTGATCCCCCCTCACCGGTGCATCCTGGTTTTAATCAAAATGTGCCCCTTGACGCTCGCACCTTGTTTTTTGTCAGGGAAATTCTTCGTGCTCAAACTGGGCCCCCTGGAACCCCCGGATTACAACAACAACGGCTCCCGCCTGAAACTTCCTCCGGATTTACTCAGGACTCCCGCTCCTGAGACTTCCTCACAATTTACTCAGGATCGGTGCTCCCGCCTGTGACCTCCTCGCAATTTAGTCAGGACCCCCGCTCCCATCTGATACGTCCTCACAATTTACTCAGGAACGGCGCTCCCGTTTGAGATTTTCTCGCAAATGAGTCAAGACTTCCTCAAATTTAATCACGACCCCCGCTCCCGCCAGAGAACCCCTCACATTTGATTCAGGAATTGCGCTCTCGCCTGTGACTTCCACGCGATCAATTCAGAAATCGCGCTTTCGACGCTCAGGGAACACGCTGCGCCAAGGACGCCGTTACACTTTACATATTAATCGCACTCTCGCCATACTCAGGCATCCCGCTTGAATGTCCCACCCGCCCGACCTGCTCGTCAGGGGATCGCGCGCCCGTCGTGGGCTCCCGCCCGAGACTTCCTTCAGGAACGGCGCTTTCGCCTAGGACTTCCTCGAACGTTCACGCCCTTACCTTCCTGCTCCTCCTCCCTCTCCCTCCTCCGTCCTCCCGCCTCTCCTCCCTTCTCTCTGCCTCATCTCGTCTCTCATCCTTATGTCTCTGTGCCCTATCCACTCTCCCTCCTCTCCCTCCTCCCTTCTCCCTCCCCTCTCCTGCCTCCTCCCTCCCTTTTGTTTGTCCTTCTCTCTCTATCTCCCTCCTGTCTCTCTCTCTCTCTCGCTTTCTTTACTTCTTATATATATATATGTATATGTTCTCTCTTTCTCTCTTTTTCTCTCTCTCTCTCTCTCTATATATATATATATATATATCTGCCTCTAATCAACCGCCCCCCTCTTCGCTCCTTCTCTCCTGGCGTTTTCCCTCTTCCTTCGTCCCTCCCCCTCCCTTCCTCCCACTCTCCCTCGTTCTCCCCCTCCTGTTTTTGCAGGGCCCACACCAATTCCAATCGCGGGCACATGTACGCTCACGAAGGATTGTCCGTCCGTTGAAGTTTGCCCGCCTGTCTAAGCCCGCCGCCCCCCGCAAAGAGAACGAATCCCCCCTAGGGGTGTGTGTGTGTGTGATCGAAGACAAAAAGGGCGGGTATCGAGGGTGTGGGGAACTCGTTTTGAGTGGCACACGGGCAAGTAAGAGCGAACAGTCTTAGAATGATTGTTGTTGTTGTTGCTGCTGAACTTCCATTTCTGAAAATTATTAATGTTGATCCCCTCTCACCGGTGCATATTGTTTTTCTCAGTCAACGTGTGCCCCTCGACGCTCGCACCCTGTTTTTTGACAGGGAACACTTTCGTGGTCAAACTGGGCCCCAGGCCCCCCGGACTACAACAACAACGGCTCCCGCCTGAGACTTCCTCCAAATTTACTGAAGACCCCCCCCTCCCGTCTGAGACTTCCTCCCAATTTACTCAGGAAACGGTTCCCGCTCGATACTTCCTTACAATTTACACCGAGACACACTGTCCAGAGAGGCCCCCGAACTCAGGAACGGCGCTCTCGCTCGAGACTTCCTCGCAATTCAATCAAGTTGGCGGAGGCCCAGCCACGACGACAAGGGCTCCTGCTCGATACTCCCTCTCGATGTCTTCTGAGAGCCCCTGGCCAAAAGGCCCCCGAACTCAGGAACGGCGCTCTCGCTCGAGACCTTCCCGTAATTCAGGCAAGTCGGTGGAGGCCCAGACACGGCGACAAGGGCTCCCGTTCGATATTTCTCCATAGGAATTTCGAGAGCCCCTGGCCAGAGAGGCCCCCGAACTCAGGAACGGCGCTCTCGCTCGAGGAGTCATCGCTCTTCAGCCAGTGGCCGACAAGGAAGAGATTCCCCCCGAAAGGGGGTGCAATCGAAAACGAAAAGGGCGGGTATCGAGGGTTGGGGTTTATGGAATGCAAGACACGCGTGCCAATAAGAGCGAACAATCTTAAAATGATTGTTGTTGTTGTTGTTGTTGCTGTAACCCGGGGGCCAAGGGCACATTTTGAGCCCCGTGACTTTCCCTGATAAAAGAAACAAGGTACGAGCCCCGGGGGAAGCACTTCAACGGACAAAAACACAATGGGCACCGAAGGGTGGGGATCAACGCAAATTATTCTTCAGTAGTGAGAATTCAGCAGCAGCAGCAGCAACAATACATCGTAGAGTTCTCCACCAGGGGGCATGCCTGGCCCGAGGGGACTCGGATCTTTACACTCGCATGGCTAAACATGGTCGTGTGAAACTTCCGGCCGCCCACGAACAACAGTTCCCCACGGCGGAACATCCCGTGCGACGAGGCTGTATTTGTCCGCGGAGCCTTGTGGTTAGTGAAGATGCGCAACTCGCTCACTCTAAGCTTCCGCTGGAATTGGATGTTTATCAAATGCGGCTGGGGCCCGTCGGACTGCCAAAAGGTCTCCGTGTTCCCGTCACGCAGCTGCTCCACCCCGTTGCCGGGCTTGGCCGACGAGAGCGACCATGCGGCTTCGTCGCCCACCTCTCCACAGCGGGATCGAATAGCGGAAGTCGATAAAGAATCGAGGAGAAGTTGGGGCGCGAGGCACTCACGCGCGGAGAGGCGGAATGTGATGCGAAGAGTCGGACTAGTCAAACGCGGAATGATCAAAGCCGTCGCAGACGGGACCTGCGAAGACGACATCCTCCTCCTGCTTCGACTCCTCTTCCTCCTACGTGGTCCCCCCAGAACCAATACCTTCCCAAACTGATCAGGCCTTCGGCAACATGGTGGGTTTCAATGTGCGGGGTGTATCGGGACTTCCGCAACATGATGGGTTCCCAACTTGGACGTACGGGGCGTCCGCAACATGGCAAATCCCCAACGTAAGGATCGTGCCGCGGCGCCGCTGGTGCGTGGGCATTGCCGACCGACCCACCCGCAACATGGCGGGCTCCCGACGTGCAGGGCGTTCCGCGGCGCCGCCAGTGCCTGGGCCTTCCTAGCCGGGCCTGCCGCATTATGGTAGAAGACCGACGTACCCAGACCCTCGACGTCATGATTTTTTCAAGACGTCGACCCCCGAGGTCTCGACCCATTCCCCGGGACCGGTTTCTCGTCCTGAGTCGTTTTTTGACGGTCCCGAGGGCCGGTAAGGGCCCCCAAAGGCCAAGAATAGTGAAAAACCTCCCGTCGTGATTTTTTCATAACTCGAGGGGGTCTGGGTAGGAGCGTTCAGCGGTGCCGCCGATGCATGGGCCTTTCTAGCCTGACCTCTCGCAGCATGGTCGGTTCCCAACGCAGGAGGCGTGCCGCGGCGCTGCCCGTGTCTGGGCCTGCCCAACCAGGCCTTCCAGAGCATCGCTGGTTCCCAGCGCAGGTGGTATTTCGCAGCGCCGCTGGTGCCCAGGCCTTCCTAGCCGAGCCTTCCGCAAGATGGTGGGCTCCCAAAAGGGGAGTGTCGCCACGCCACTGGGGCCTGGGCCTTCCTAGCCGATCCTTCCGCAACATGGTGTGTGCGTGTGTTCCAACCGATGATCAGCATCAACTTCATCATCCTCGTCGTCGCCGATGTCGCCCTCCTCGTGGTCATCGTCGTCATCACCTTCGTCGTCGTCTTCGTCGTCGCCGTCTCCACCGCCGTCGCCGTCGCCGTCGCCGTCGCCGTCGCCGTGTCTATTCTCGTCGTACTCGCCGTCCTCGCCCCCGCCCTCGTCCTCGCCCTCGCCGCCGTCGTCGTCGGCGTCGTCGTCGTCGTCATCGTCGTCGTCGTCATCGTGGCCGTGGTCGAGGCCGTGGTCGTGATCGTGGTTGTGGTCGTGGTCGTGGTCGTGGTCGCGGTCGTGGTCGTGGTCGTCGTCGTCGTCGTCGTCGTCGTCGTCGTCGTCGTCGCCGTCGTCGTCGTCGTCGTCGCCCGTGCCGTCCTCGCCGTCGCCATCGTGATGTCCTGGTGGATGAATTGCGCACTAATTGAATGCCCCGCGTGAATCGGCCCGTTCTGCCCGTTTGGGGTCCGCCTGCGCGATCTGCCCGTTAGGGCCAGTCCGACGCGTCCCGCCCGTTAGGGTCTGACCGCCCGACCTGCACTGGTAAGAAAGAGAGGGAGGAAAGGGGGAGGATATCAAAAACACAAGTGCGACACAGGTGGGAAGAACACCATCATTTGGCATGTAGGGAATCAGTGGTTGTTGCCCTCTCGTCTTTTCGCCTCCGAGCCTCAATATGGCGCCCGAGATGGCTCGAAAGAATCCCAAGAGAAGCCCAATGGAGTCCAAAATGGCCCCAGAGACTCCAAACACTGCCCGAGAGCGACCCAAAGCGGCCCAGAGCGGCCCCCCAAACAGCCCCCGAAATCGTGAGACGGGTCAACTGCGGCCCCACGAGTCCACAAGAGGCCCCAAGAGACCCCCACGATGCCCCTGGGAGGGCCTCGAGGGGGCCCCGAGAGGGTCCCAAGATGCACCACGAAGGCCCCAAGAACCCATGCATCCCCAGGACATGTTTTTTGCCCCTTGGGCCCCAAACGACGGCTTGAGTCTTGAACAAGCGCGTATGAGATAAGCGCCGTCGGATCCAATCAATTTCGCGTGGGTCCAGTTTTGGTCTTGGTTTCTGTGTCGGCGGATCGGACTTCCGTCCGCGCGGATCCTGCTTCGGGTTTTCTGGATCCGTGCCCGGACCCATGTTTTACGGCGTATCCAGATTCTACGTTGTTTAAATGTATACTCTGAAATCGGAAGATATCGGATTCGCGGGCCCCCGATACCGCGCGTGTTAAGATTCTACGCGGGAGGGAAGTTCGGTCATCAACTTCCCAGGATGGGCCCCGCGCTGTCTCCCACATTCCCACCAACTTTCCGCGCGCGCGGGTCCCACTCAACATGAATGCATCTCTCTGCTCCCCGTTGCTGCGCGCAGCCCGTCCAAGCGCCGTCCTTTCGGCGGCGCCGATGAGATTTCGCGCACTCATCATCGCCATTTTCACCTCGATCGGAAAATCTCTCGTCCTGCGTAAATGCGTTTCGGCCCTGCGTCTCCTGACCCAACGGACTGCCTGTGCGCTCTCTCGCACGATGGCGCGGCGCCTCGCGCTCGGCGCGGTTTCCATCGTCGCGCATCCTGACCGCCCCCCATCAGGGTCGCCCGCGCGGGGCCCTATGTGGTAACCAACAAGTCCCAAAAACCAAAACGCCAGTGCGTTTCGGGGCTGCGTGGTAACCAACAAGTCCCGAAGGCCGAAACGCCCAGTGCATTTCGGACCTGGGTCTCCTGACCCAATGGACTGCCTGTGCACTCTCTCGCGCCATGGCGCGGCGCTTCGTGCTCGGCGCGGTTTTTATCGTCGTGCATCCTGCCCGCCCCCAAATCAAGATCGCTCGCGCGGGGCCCGTGGGGCTATGTGGTAACCAACAAGCCCGAAGACCAAAACGCCAGTGAGTTTCGGGGTTGCGTGGTAACGAAGAAGTTCAAAAGGCCAACACGCCCATCCCCAGGACAAACACTTTTCCCTCTTGGGCCCAGAACGACGGTTTAAAGTCTTGAACGCACGCGTATGAGATAAGCGCCGTCGGATCCAATGCATTTCGCGCAGATCCAATTTTGGTCTTGGTCTCTGTTTCGGCGGATCGGATTTCCGTCCGCGCGGATCGGATTTCGGGTTTTCTGGATCCGCGCCCGGACCTTTGTTTTTCGGCGGATCCGGTTTCTATCCTGTTTGAGGTTTATACTCTTCAGCCAGGGCGGGGAGCCGGAAAAAATCAGATCCGCGGGCCCCGGAATCCGCCCGTGTTAAGATTATACGGGGGAGGGGGGGGGTGTCATCAACTTCCCAAGATAGGCCCTGCGCTGTCTCGCGCACTCCCATCAACTTTCCGCGCGCGCGGGTCCCACTCAACATGAATGCATCTCTCTCTCTCTCTCTCTCTCCTCCGCGTTGCTGCGCGTAGCTCGTCCAGGCGCCGTCCGTTCGGCGACGCCGATGAGATTTCTCGCGCTCATCATCGCCATTTTCTCCTCAATTGGAACATCTTTCGTCCTGTGTAAATAATATACGCCAACATGCTGCTTCCTGGTCGTTGTCCTGCTCCTCTTCCTCCTCCTCCTCCTTCCTTCTCCTCCTTTTCCATTCTTTTTTCCTTATACATAGCTCCTCCTGGTCGCGCCCCGTGGCCAATCGGGCGATTCGCATGAGACTCCCTCGCCGCTTATCATCCTGAAGCTAAGCATTTGTTATCAAGATGTGGTTCTCGCCTTAATGCCGCGCGCATTCGTCTTAGACATGAGCAAGAGTTTCGCGGATGTAAGGCAGATCGTTGCCAAAATGTGGCCGTCGCCCCGGCGCTGCGCACATTCGGCTTACATGGCAGAGACATTCACGAATGGCGGGCGGGTCGTTTTCAAGATGTGGCTCTCGCCATAATGCCGCGCGCTCGCGTCTTCAAACACGCGTGAGTTTCACGGAGGGAGGACGGGCCGTTTTCCAAGATGTGGCCCTCGCCGTAGCGCCGCGCGCATTCGTTTTCAGAGTATACAGCAGTTTTAAAGGATCTCAGAAGGAACGCCCCCAAAACGGTGCTCAGGTATGATGTCGGATTGCCAGGGCGTAACACTTACGTTTATTCGTGATGTTGAAGTCCCAGGAACGGTGTTCTGGCGCAGTTCAGGATTTTCAATCGATTGCTTTCCAACGGGGCACTTCCTTCAAGGAGAAGACGAATCTTTGTGGGGGCCTATCAAAAGGGAATTTGGAGGGAGGGTTTGCTACAATACCGTTGATGAGTCTTGGGTTTACACTGGTCCTCATCCTCCTTCTTCCCCACCATGGTCGCGACATTTGCGGGCTAGCTTCCCGAAGGGTGGCCCGCCGTGCCTTCCGCTCTGCGGGCTCAATTTTTAAAGTGGGCTCTCGCTTTCTCTCCGAACAACGCTTGCACGTAAGGGTTGATTATTCTCTTGCGCAGGGTGTCTAGAGCTCCGGCGACTTTATTTCGGCACGGCACCGGTCGATGCAGCCCCTTAGGCCCCCTCCTCCCAGCGCGCCCCTTCCGAATCCACCTTCTAGAGCAGCCGCGCCGAAGCAGCCCTTCGGCCACCCGCGTCCCTCCCCTGCCGGCCTGCGCGCCCAGCCCGCCAGCCGCGCGCCCCCTCGGCACCAGTCCCACTAGCCAGCGGGCCCCTCCGCCCCGACCGCTGCATTTCGGCACCTCGCTGGCCTGGCCCCGCCGGCCAGCGCGCCCCCTCCGCCCCGACTGATGTATTTCGACACGGCACCCGCCAGTCCCGCCAGCCAGCGCGCCCCCTCCGCCCCGACCGCTATATTTCGGCACGGCGCCGGCCCCGCCGGCCAGCGCGCTCCGTCCGCCCCGGCGGCTTTATGTCGGCGCGGCACTGGTCCCACCGGCCAACGCGCCCCCTCCGCCCCGACCGCTTTATGTCGGCACGGCACTGGCCCCGTCAGCCAGCGCCCGTCGGCGCGGCACCGGCCCCCCCCTCCGCGCAGCCAGCCCCTCCGCCTCGACCCCAGCGCGCCCCCCCCGCCCCGACCGCAGCCCCTAGGCCCCCTCCTCCCAGGCCATGCCGAAGCAGCCCCTCGGCCCTCCGCATCCCTCCCCCGCCGGCCTGCGCAGCCAGCCCGCCAGCCAGCGCGCCCGCTCGGCGCCGCCCCCGCCAGCCAGCGCGCCTCCTCCGCTCCCGCTTTATTTCGGCACGGCGACGGTCCCACCAGCCAGCGCGCCTCCTCCGCCAGCCAGGGTAGCCGCCCCGACCGCTACATTTCGGCGCAGCACTGGTCCCACTGACCAGCGCGCCTCCTTCGCCCCG